AGAAGTGTTCCCACCTCCTCCAAGTCACAGGGGCACGCTTCCTCTACTCAAGTAGCCTCCTGAAAGACTGCTCTCATCTTCCCACTGCTGGTACTTGCTAGCCCTGATATCATCATCTAAGACTGGTTAGTAAGGGAAACAGCTACCCAACTCATCCACACTCTAAGCTCACTAAAAGAACTGGAGTCATTCTTCAGGCTGTTGGGATCATTACAATTTGAAATAACAACGTTTACATGACTGCACTCACATACAAGACACTGATATAGCACATAATGGTTTGTAAACACTATAAAAGGAGGAAAGGTCAATCTGCTCACAGGATGTCAAATGCTAACCCTTATAAATGTTTAAACGGCAGCTTGAGTTTTTCTGAATATAGGCACCATCACACCTTAAATGGCTGTCATCCCGGGCTTGACTCTAGTACCCAGTTCCTACATAACAAACTCCAACCTGCCTTGATATCAAACATACCAAGACCCCAAACTGGCAGTGGGGATCTTGTAACCAATAGCTCGATTTCAGCATAGATGAGTCAGTAACAGCCCACACTCTAGAGCAAACATCTGCAGGAACCTATCTGGTCATTTCTTCCTCATTTCCCTTCAGTGTCCAAGGGCACTACCCTCTCTGCAGCCAATGTCTGAGCACTTTCTATGTAAAATACATCTGGCCACATGAATTTCTTTGTGACCCATAAGGACTAAAGTCAATCAGCCCGAGCGACATCCCCACAGTCATGGCGGGAATCACCTGCTCCTCTTAGGTGGTTAATTTCACTGCTTCTTTTTTTTACTTGCCGGACTGTCCAACATTTCAATCTTGCCTTTGCCACCTTCTGCGTTCGGAAGCTTAATGTTCTCGATGGTGACTTCAGACGGAATGCAATCATCTTCAGACTCTGAGCTGTCCCCAAAACTGTCCTGTGAACTCTCTTCTGGACTATCCTCCTCTTTTGAATCTGACCGATTCATTTCAAATAAGGCCACATCCTATAAAAAAGTATCAGGATGAGAAATGTCCTTCAGGGCAGTTCTATAACATGCTCTAATAAACCAACATGGCTGGCTACAGAGAGGGCTCAACAAGCAGGTAAAGGTACTCACTGCTTTTCCAGAGTTCCCATTACCCATTAGCATATGGCTCGAAACACTTCTAACTCCAGCCTCAGAAAAGCTAACATTCTCTGCTGGTTCTTACGGGCACCTACACAGGTGGCAGACACACACACAAGTAATTCCTTTTTTTTTTTTCTTTTGGTTTTTCGAGACAGGGTTTCTCTGTATAGCCCTGGCTGTCCTGGAACTCATTTTGTAGACCAGGCTTGGCCTCAAACTCAGAAATCCGTCTGCCTCCCAAGTGCTGGGATTAAAAGCATGCACCACCACCACCTAGCCACAAGTAATTTCTAATACAGCAGCAGAGAAAGCAACCAATATTCACCACACATTCAGGAGCAAAGGTCAGACCATGTATCTAACATAAATTCTTTCTAGGTGCCAGAATCCATCCTAAGAGCAAAGTCAGGAAATGTTTGAAGATTTGTTTTTATTTATGTTTTTAAAAAAGTTCTCCCTGCTTACTACACATCCAATAGCTGACAGTCAATAAAACCGGACTAGAGCAGTGGTTCTCAACCTTCCTAACTATACAACGCTTTAATACAGTTCTTTATGCTATGGTGACCCCTCCCAACCATGAAATTTCTCTCACTGCTATCCACAACTGTAAGTATGCTACTGCTGTCAACCTCAATATAAATCTATTTATTTGGTCTTGGGAGGTTGAGAACTGCTAGACTACAGTCAGGCACCACACTGGACACTTCAGACTTGACAAGAAATGCAAACAGCTGGCCTCAGTGACACAGCTACAATCCCAGCCGATAGTAACAGGATTGACAATCTGAAGTTTCCCCTCAAAAAGCCATCGCAACTCTTGCCTTCAAGAAATTTATATTTCTGAGCAAAATGCAAAGTATAACTGGCAGGCAAAATCCTGCCTGCCCCCACTTCTGTTCAGCTATTGAAGCAGGAATAGTGTCTGTACTTTCAGAAAGTAGCTGAAGGGGAAAGATGAAACTGTAGCATGTACAAGCTGCTGACACCACAGCCCTGGGCAGGACTTCCAACCATGAAAAATTGTTCCCGGGAACTGTGAGCCAACATGAATAGCCCTTCCCTTTAAAAAAAAATACATATGAAATTGTACACAACTCCAGTTTTAGTAGCCATAACTTTACAATGCCTGCTTGTTAGGTAAATGGCTACATACAGCACTGAACAGCAAGTTAATCAGGCAAACAGAGACAGTATGGCCTGTGGAACTCAAGTATGTTCTATCGTCTTGCCTGTGTGAAAATGTTTGCTAATTTTAAAATAACATTTTACTTTAGAACAACATTTTAAAATATCACATTTCCCTTTTGGTAACAAGTATATTAATTCCACTGTATGAAACAGAAGCAAGGCTCACTTACCATCTGTATGATGTTTCCGGTCGTCTCCTCGACGTTTTCAATATTGAAATGACCAGCTGGAGCAGCTGCCATTTCCTTCCGAAGTTTCTCATTTGCCTGGGCCATTTGTGGGAGGAAGGCCTGAACCTGGTCTAACACTGGAGGAGAACACAGCAAGCAAGCATGTTAGTAAACAACAAACCCATCAACTCTGTCCCTCCACTCCTTAGCCACATTGGGTTGGAGGGTGGGTGCTAGGCCCAGGCCCTCTAAACTCCCAGAGCAATATAACCTAGTCATTTCCCAACTATTACTCAAATGTTCTGTTACTCTATCATCCCCAAAGTATAAAGAGCTAGAAGGCTGGCATTCACCAAGATGACTGGGAAAAACCAGACAGGATGAGCTAATGGTTAAGTGCACCTGGTGAGGCTGTCAAGGTTCTTAATGAGACCCCATTTCCATTGTTTACTATGTCATCCACCTGGAATGTCTGTCACCTCCCCAGCTGCCAGCCTTTCATCTGAAAATGTCAACACCACCTTACATAAAAAAAATTAAAAAACAACAAAAAGACAAACAGGAACAGGCTTGCTATATAATTACAAATTCTCTATGTTCCTACCTTCCAAGTCCTGCATAGGATCATCCCTGTCCTTCCTCTGAAGCTTGAGTCAGTCACTAATGTTCCTCACCCTCAACTGGCCTATGTTTCTGTAGGCTTCCCTATCACAATCTGCCTGTGGTGTAATCTGACAGGGTGGGGTGTTCTAGCCAAGCCAGTGAGCAGTCAACTTGAGAGCTGAGGAAAATACCCAATAACCAGATGACTTTCTCATTAACCAGCCGACTTGCCACAGCTGTAAAGCAGCATCTTCAGGTTAGTCTAACACTGAGAGAACAGAGCTGAGACTGGCAGCACGAGGACAATGGGCGTCGGGATCCAGATAAACTTTTAGTTTCTAACTCTGGCTTCTCTTAAAGCTGAATTAAATTCTACTCTTCTGCAATTCAGAGTTCTAACTAATGCATTCAGTTTCACCACCATCAACATGACACCAGCTAGTCTGAGAGAACCTCAACTGAGGACCCAGCTGTAGGGCATTTAACTAATTATTGATTGATGGGGGAGGGCCCAGCCTACTTTGGGTGGTGCCATCCTAGGGCTGATCTTGGGTTCTATAAGAAAGCAGGCCTAGCAAGCCATGTGAAGCAAGACAGTAAGCAGAACCCCTCCATGGCCTCTGCAGCAGCTCCTGCCTCCAGGTTCCTGCCCTGTGTTAGTTCTTGTTCCAGCTTCTTTCAGTAATACAGAATGATTTGGAAGTATAAGCCAAATAAACCCTTTCCTCTCCAAACTGCCTTGGTCTTGTGGTTCCATCACAGCAAAACAAATCCTAACTAGGACAGAAATTGATAATACAATAGTGGGTATTGCTGTGACAGGGACCAGACTGTGTGTTTAGGATTGTCTGGGCTGTTAAAATCACTAAATGTTCAGAGCTCAGTGGACTGTTCTGTAGGAGCTTGGAGGGTAAGAAGAATGTTGAGATCAGTGCAGATGGAGGCCTGGCCTGTGAGGTTTCAGAGGTCAGTTTGAGAGTCCTTTAATGACTCTTATCTCTGCTTCCCACAGAAGGGTTATGGGTTCAGGAAGCCACACAGCTTAAGTGGGTTCCAAGGATTTAAACTCTGGTCCTCTCGTGGGCTCAACAAGCAGCCTTATTCTGAGCAATCTCCTAGAGTAAATAAATACCTGCCAGGTGTGGTGGCACATACCTTTAATTCCACTACTCGGGAGGTGGAGGCAGGGGTGGGTTATCTATGAATTTGAGGCTTGCATGGTCTACATAGAGTTCCAGGCCAGTCGGTGATAGAGTGAGACTGTTGTCAGAGGGAAAGAAAAATCAAAATTGGCATGGCAGCATGGGCCCTTAATCCTGGAATTGGGTGAGATAGGAGAATCTGGACTTCAGGGTCATTCTCTGTTACACAGTGAAGCGTGGGGCCAACATGGACTACATGAGACCCTGTCTAGCTAGACCACAACTAGCTGGGCCTTTGGGGTTCAAAAAAAAAATGCCTTTTATTCTGAAAAAAGCTGAACACAGGAATTAACATGAGAAATTCTATTCCTCAGTGATTTACACAATATATTTGACCCTACAGTCTGACAGGAGCCATGAAGACAGATTATCCCGTCACATAATGGATTAACTAACCAAAGTGGGAGAGTGCCCTCTGGCGTAGAAAGGAGGTACTTACAAGGGCTCCTCTGCATCCGAACTGTTTGAAGTGTAGAGGTCTTTCTGGAATGAGGCTTAGAGCTGATGAGCAGCTGGTCCCAGATACCTGAAACCACACACACAAACAATTAACAACGTAAAACAGCCCTGAGCAGCAAGTGCAACTCGTCATACCTGGGGCTGTTCTGGAACACCCTATATAGACCAGGCTGGCCAGGAGCTCAGAGATCCCACTGCCTCTGCCTCCCAAGTGCTGGGATTAAAGGGATGTGACACTGGCTGAAATGCTGAGTGGATTTCCTGCACACAGGTCTCCCTCGACCAAAGCCACACTAAGGAGTTTATGCCAAAACCAAACAATACTAAAAATGGTATTTGTCTGTTCTTCACCTTCCAATGCGGTCCAGGCCAGGTGGTCCTTGGAAGGTTCATTAAGAACCGCCCAAGCCCCGGCTGGCCTACTCGTACCCCCAACAGACCCGGGCATCGTCTCGGGCTGCGAGGCATCTCCACCTCCTTAGCGGCGAAGGTCCCGCGGCATCCCCGACCTCCGCAGCGTCTCGGGCCCCTCGAAGTCCTACACCTCCCGCAGCGTCCCCGGGCCTGCAGCGTCCCCGGGCCTGCAGCGTCCCTAGTCACCGCAGTGTCTCGGTCTCCTCGGTTCCCCAAGCACGCAGTAACCCCGACCCCCACACAGCGTCTCGGGCCCCTCGGTGTTCCCGGACCCCCGCGGCGTCTCGAGCTTCTTGGCGTCCCCAGCTCTGCAGCGTCCCGGGCGCCTCAGTGTCCCTGGACCCCGCAGCGTTCCCGACCTCCCGCAGCGTCCCCCGTCCTGGTAGCGTCCCCGACACACGTCAGCGACCCCGGTCGCACGGCGTCCCCGAACTCCCGCAGCGTCCCTGGTTCCCCAAGCCTATCCCGCTCTCCGCTCACCTCCCGAACCCTCGCTCCCCGCCGTCAGCAGCTCCGTGGACACCGTGACCCGCGAACAGGCTACAGAAGACGAAGAAACACCAGGAGCACTCGCGCGCTCGCCGCAGACCTCCATGCTTCCAAGCTAGCACGAGTGAAAAGCCCGGATATAGAAAGGCACGGAAAGGGGCGGGGTCAAGGTGGCAATTGGCGGAAACTAGGAGATGGGCGGGGACTTACGAGTGCGTGGCGGGAGCTCCTGCCTCTAGCTGAGGCCTCAGGCCCGCGGGGACCGGAAACGGGGCGCGGCCGAGGCGGGGGCGGGGTGAGGGAGCCACACAGTGTGGGCGGAGCGCTGCGGATGCTCGCGTCCGGCTCCTAGTCCACCCCAGCCCGAGTCTAGCAAAAAGGTCTCCTCCTTTGTTATTGTTAGAAAAGAATCAACCGGGTTTATTCTATTTTTGTTGTTGTTTGGGGAGGCTTCTGTGGTCTTCAGCTTGTGGCAATCCTGCCTTAGTTTTCCAGATGCCATAATTATAGGTGGAAGCCACCACACCCACCCAAGTTGGCTTCTAATTCACCATTTCCACCTTCAGTTTCTGTGTACTTAAATCTACAGGCACCCGTTACCATACTTAGTTTGTTATTTGTTGAAATCTCACTAAGTTCTCTGGTTGGCCTAGTAATCAAAGTCCTCCTAAGTCCTTCAGCCTTATATTTATCTAAGCCTAAATAGCTTAGATTTCAGGTCTGGATGACCAGACCCAGCTTAGTTTACTATTTAATTGTAAACACAAAACCCAGCAGTATCATGAATGCTGTTTACATGGCTGTATATACACTAAACCTTTGGAACATTGTCATGTCAAAATCCTAAAAGATTGTTCCAGGTGGTAGTTAAATGGTACAGCTGTGTGAGAGAGGCCCTGAATTTGGTCTTCAGCACCAAAACAAATCTTTCATTTTTTAAAAAGCTGAAACAAAAGTATTGAATGACAAACCCCATTCCTCCTCTCTTCCTGCCCCCAGGACCCAATGCTCACGGTTTTGTTGAGAACAAGCAAGAGAAACTTATTCTAACCACTACCATTTCATTTTCAGACTCCATTTAATCATAGGGAGAAACAAAAGTCAAGGCCCCAGGCCCTATGGGAGCTGGGGACTTCCCTATAGCTGAACAGCTTCTGTTGTCAACGGCTGTCTGAGTCCAGACATCTCAGGGACAACTTGTAAGAAGACAGTTGTCTGGGAGCTGGAGAGATGGCTCAGCGGTTAAGAGCACTGACTGCTCTTCCAGAGGTCCTGAGTTCAAATCCCAGCAACCACATGGTGGCTCACAACCATCCGTAATGAGATTCGATGCCCTCTTCTGGTGTGTCTGAAGACAGCTACAGTGTACTCATAAATAAAATAAATAAATAAATCTTTAAAAAAAAAAAAAGAAGACAGTTGTCTGAGTCCAGCCGTCTCAAGGACAACTTTTCCATCTTGCTGGCAGGATCAAACAAGTTCATGTTCCCAGGCCTAGGAGTGAACACCTATCTACATGTTTTCTTAATTGTCTGTTAACTGGTAAAGAATATAGAAATTGCTATTATCTAAGCTAAGGTGTGTAAGTTATAAAAATATATAACTTATTGCCTGTTCTGTGCTAGTTAACTACATACAGCTGACCTCTCCTTTGTCCCACCCATACCCCAACCTCTACCCCACCCTCCACCCCCATCACTCTGAGCTCTGCACCTAATGTCTAGGAGAATGAATTAAGGGCCTTGAAGCCAGTTGCCCTGGATACATCCCAATCTCTAATGGGTACTCCCTTATTTAACCCATAATGTCAAAATACAATCAGATAACACTGCAGTTCCTCCCAGGTCCCCCTCAGTTTGTGTTCCCATCCTTTTGAAATGTTGTACCATCCCCCTTTGGGGACAAGGTTCGGATCCCATACTGGCTGCCCGCCTCCCTAGGCACTAAGAAAATACAGCTTTTGTTTTTAAAGCTTTCATCTCTGAAGTGAGTTTTCTCAGCTCCCACCACAAACCTAACAATTTCTCTTTCCACATAACTAGAATCATAAACTACTTGTTTTTGTAACTAGCTTATTTCACTGAAAATAATGCCTTCAAGGTTTACTGGAAGGATTTAAATCAAAAGATAGATTTTAATGTTGAATAATATGTTCTTGAATTGTGTACCACACTTTCTTTGGGGCAGCCGAGCAGGGATTTGTTCTGTGGGGACAGGGTCTCACTATATAACCTAGGCTACATAGTTCAACTCCATGCTATCCTCAAACACTTAATCCCAGTTGCTGAGGTTACAGACAGGCTTTTGCTACCAGGGCTTGTTAACAGTGTGTTTTCTCTGTGAATATTTGAGTTCCTTCCACCTCATGACTGCTGTGAACAGGAACAGCAGTAAATATGCAGTTGTTTCTTCAAGCAGTGCCTTTAATCCTAGCATTCAGAAGGCAGGGAGGCTGGTGAATCTCTATGAGTGTTAGGCCAGCTTGAACTACATAGCAAGATCTAAGCCAGTCAGAGCTGCATAGAAAATCTGTGTCTCAAAAAACCCTATGTGGGTTTGTGTGTGTGTGTGCGCGCGCGCATGTGTGTGTATAGTGGGGCACATGTCCTGGCACAGGGCACATGACAGGGCAGGAAATCAGGACAACTTGAGGGAGTCAGTTCTCCCACTTCATTGGTCCTATGGATCAAAAGCTTATAGCAGTAGACACCTTTACCTGCTAATCTATTGGCCAGCCCAAATAACCCAATTAAAATACAATCAAAGGGCTGGGATATATATTTCTTCTTTCTTTTTTGAAAGTGGACAAATTGTGGTTGTTCCTTTCTTGTATTGGAAGTTCTCTTCAGTACCATCTTTAGCCAGAGATTATTTGCCATAGTTCTTCGTCACTACACAACGGTAGCCAATTGCTTGACCGTCTTAGACATCCGCATCTGAGCTCATACACGCCATATCAGACATACACAAGTACAGAGATGTCCCCCAAAATGGCTGGGAGGAGGCGTTGCAGTCCCTGAAAGCGGTACACGTAGGAAGGATGCTAAGTGGGCTCTGATGGCAGATGCCTGGCTGTGCTGCAGTTAGAGAGCATGGAAATAAGGCTGAGCTGTCTGAGGAGAGCTACCAGGAAAAAGACGCGGACGCTCCTCCTCTTTACTCTAACTCTGATCTGGCTGGGAAAGGGGGAAGGGTGAAATGGAAACTTCAAGGATCCTTGGAAAGTCAGTTACATCAGAAGATGTCTTACTAAAGCAAACATGTGAAAGAATGTGTTCCTGAGAAGACACAGGTGAAAGGATGTTTTGGAATAGCAAACCCGTGAAAGGCCGCTTGATGAAGGAGTATAAATATGACCCACAGACAGTGAGAGCAGAAGCTTCGGTTTGATTTGCTCTGCCTCACTACTCTTCGCTAACACACACATACTGGTTCACCTTACCTAGCGTGGTTGAGTTTAGCTTGTGGTAACATCGACATTGAAAGAAACTCACCCAAGAACTACTCAAGAGGTCTGAAGCTTCTTGCCTCACCTCAGGCTGGCTGACGAGTCGTGCAATCTCTTCAGGATTGAACTACAGCTGCCAGGTGTCTGCCTGCAGAGAGGAAGCTACTGACAAAGATCAAGCTCGTCCCCACAGAACTATTGCTAAACAGGTCCACTTCCCCCATCTCTTCTCTTCTACTGCCTCTGGTGGGTGGTAGACTAAAGGAAAGGTTGAACGCTTACTAAACTAGGCTGCAAAAAACTTACGCCTACAGAAGGGGAAGGGGCAGATGAAGCCACAGCTTGCTATTTCTGCTAGAGTGTAAGGGATAGAAAACACAAGCAGGGTTTGTGCTGAAGAGCCCTTCCTGGGATCCCAAACCTCAGTATCCATAGGAAGACATCAAGTGGGATGACAGAGAACACGATGGAAGTTTTAAGGCTCTGGCAGGCCTGAGCATGGCGGACATGGCTCTGGCAGGCCTTGCCCTTCTCCTGCTCCCTCTGCCTTAATAAAAACTGTTTGGCTACTTTCAAACTGCTAGCCACCAGGTCTATTCCCTTATTTGGCCACTTTCTCTTCCTGAGGCTGATTATAAAGGTCCAGCTATCAAAGTATTGATGTCCAGCAATCAAAAAGTGTGAGTCACCATCCTCTGTATCTGTGCTGTTATGTCCGATCTTCCATCTCTATGCATTTCTCTGAGACGACTGCTCAAGGAGAAATCCAAACTTAGGTGATAAGCTGCCAAGTGTGTCTCCTTGTTCCTGTTTTGATCCTTGTTCCTGTTTTTATTCCTGTTCCTGTTTGTGTTCCTGTTTTGTGGGGAGTATAAAAGGGAGCTATGCAGTTGAAGATATAGCATTTGGTTCTTTACCAGATGACTCTTTTTCTTTCTCTCGCCCTCAGCCCTCCGCCGATCCAAGGAACTCAGTCAGCTATGCTGGTGTAGCTGACAAGTGGAGGTTCCACCAAGATTGAAAAGATGAGGAAGATTGCTGACGGGCCGTCTCCAGGGCACACATTAGGACAGGAGACGTATTAGATATGAACCGAAGGTAGGTTTTCAGGGTAAGTAAACGCCATGGATTTGACACATAGTAAGGAGTTGCTGGCTAAACAACTATCTACTCTTCTGGCTCAGTGGGGAACTGCAGTTGAAGCTAGGGTTATTGAAGAATTTATGAAAGAATTACAAAAATTCTCTCCATGGTTTGTGGTGAGCAGCACTTTTAAGCTGGAAGACTGGGAAAAGGTAATAGATGATTTTTGTGGTGCTGCCGATTGCCGTGGCCCTTTATTCCTTAGAAAATCAGTTTGGGGCATTTGTCTTCATCTGTGGCGATTTCTTTCTGTACAGTTTTCCTCTCTCTTCTACATCTCTGGGTTACAAATGCCACCCTCCCTGTCCACACTGCTTTCGAAGATTGCTTTCGAGGTTTGCTTTCGAGGATCGCTTTCAAGGATCACTTTCGAAGATCACTTTCGAGGATCGCTTTCGAAGATCTTTACCTGCGCTCTTGTTTTTAGACGAGAGTGAGGACTGAATTAGAGACTTTTTCCGCTTTTTTCTTTTTTTGTTGTTATTTTTTTGAGAGGGGAGAATTTCATCCCAGATAGAGGGGTGGGGTCTGGCTCCGGAGGAGGGTCCCTG